ATCCACTGAGCCAAACCGGTTAGGGCTGCTCATCTACTTTTTTAAAAACACATTTATTTAGTGCCTATTTTGTGCCAGTAGCAGGGTGGGGACAGGAATGAAGTTCTTGCATTTGAAGAACAATCTCTTGCTGGAAGGCTGGGCTCAGGAGACTGCCTGGGCAGGTTTGGGAAGGACCCAGGTGAGCACAGCATCCACCAGGCTGGCTGGCAGGTAGGAGGCTGGCAGCCAGAGCAGCTTGGCGTCCCAGCCTGGGCTGTAGCGGGTTCTGGGGTGGCAAGCAGTCAAGGCATGCTCCAGGCACCTGCTCACCTTGGTCAGGTCCGGATCACAGATGAGGTTCATGACATGCTGCTGCACTTCCAGGTCTGCAGCCCAGTGGGTGGTTGGAATCAGTGTCCCTGTCCCACTGCAGCCCATCTCGGGCCCTCTTCTGGGTCCTGTGGCTTGTTGCCCAGCAGAGGTGAGAGGGATCCTTAATCCCGTCCCCAGTTAGGGGAATGGGCAGGCTCCACATGGCCTGGGTGTCCTAAAGCACCCCATTCACCCTCACCCACTCCCTGACTGCCCTTCCTACTTCCTCCCGGTAGGTTGGTGCAGGGCTGACCTTTCTGGCACTTTCATTCCCCCTGTATGGGCCCAGCTACTCACACTTGGTAAGGAAGGCATCCCCATAGTGTGCCTGTGTGGCTGGAGGCAGCCGTGCCCAGCAGGCCTGCAGGGCGTTCTCCAAACTCTCCAGGTTTGTCACAGAGGTTCGGAAAAAGCCAGGCTCCACAATGGAGACTCGTACTCCAAAAGGAGCCACATCCCGCCTGGAGTGGGGTAGAGGGAAGTTTTTGGGTTCTTGCCCTAATAGGGAGGGGATGTTCAGGGACATGGGTGGGAGACTGTGATGGGAAAGTTATTAAACCAGGGACAGGGGTCCTAAGGGATACGCTGCTGCCCTGGGATGAGGGGCAAGTGGGGACAGAGGGAGGGAGGGAGGTTTTTCCCTGTGTATTCTCTTCTACAACCTAGAGCAGGGGTTGGGTCTCAATAGTAAATACTTTCTGTAATGCAGGACTAAATATTATGTAGGTACTTATATAATCATTTAAAAATGTAAAAACCTTTATTGGCTTATAGGCAGCTGGTCAGATCTGGCCTGAGAACCACGGTTTGCCAACTCCAGCCCTAGGAGAACCCCATTCCCTAGCTCCCAAAACACAGGGTGGAGTCCTGAGTGCTGGGTAGGGAGGTGTAGACTAGTATTTGCTGGGAGGAAAGTGGGGATACATCCGACCACCCCGGCACAGATGCAGAAGTCCAAGTATAAAGTATGTGTTTCATGATGCCAACTGGAAAATTAAAAGATAGATGGATAGGGACAAAAGTAGAACCTGGTCGATGTGGCTCAGTGGTTGAGTGTTGACCCATGAGTCAAGAGGTCCCTGGTTTGACTCCCAGTCAGGGCACATGCCAGTGGGGGGGAGAAGGGGCGTGTGGGAGGCAGCCAATCAGTGTCTCTCTCGTCGATGTTTCTATCTCTCTGTCCCTCTCCCTTCCTCTCTGTAAAATAAATACATATTTTTAAAAAACGTTGATATTGAAATTACTTGTGGAGTGATGGTGACAAAGGCAGATTTCCTTCAGAAGGTGGGTTTGGCTTGGGGGACTTGTACTTCTGCTCAGAATCCAGGCCTAGTCCTGGCCAGTGGTGGGAGCACTGTCCTGTGCGCTAAAAGGTTGCTGGTTTGATTCCCACTCAGCACATGCCTGGGTTGTGGGCTCAACCCTGGGTAGGGAGTGTGTAGGAGGCAGTCGATTGATAGATGTTTCGCTCTCACATCAATGTTTCTCCTTTCCTCTCTCTCTAAAAATATAAAAAAATCTTAAAATTCAGGCCCTGCTCCCATGTCTTTCTTGTCAAGTCTTCACTGTGCTCTCATGGGACTTTGAACATTACCATCTAAAGATGGGCAGGAGAACAGAATGACCAGGCTCAGTAGGTGAGCACAGTTCCAGTGGTCTTGGGTAAGTTATGTTACTCTATGGGTACTAATACCTACCATGAGAATTAATAAGAAAACATGTAAAGGTACTAGCTCATTGTAATAATCATCTCTTTATATAAAAGCCTAATATGCTAAGTGTCAGATCAATTGGTAGGACCAATCGACCAGTCGTTTTGATGTGCACTGACCACCAGAGGGCAGATGCTCTGACTGGTAGGTTAGCTTGCTACTGGGGTCGGGCCAATTAGGACTGGGCAAGACAGGCCAGACATGCCCTGGAGCCCGCCCCCCGCAGTCCCTCCCCAACCAGCCAACTTTCCATGGTCCCTCCCTGGCCGGCTGGCCCCCATCGGCCCCAATCAGGACTGGGCAAGATGGCCCTGATCAGCCCCAATCGCCAGCCAGGCCAAGGGACCCCACCTGTGCACTAGGCCTCTAGTTATTAATAATACTAATAATGATAGCAGGCTTTTGGAGGTATTTTCTTTTTTGTTAATCCTCACCTGAGGATATTTTTCCATTGATTTTCAGAGAGTGGAAAGGAGAGGGAGAGACAGAATCATCAATGTGAGAGAGATACATCGATTGGTTGCCCCCTGCATGAACCCTGACCAGGGCCGGGGAACCTACAACCAAGGCATGTGCCCTTGACTGGAATTGGACCTGGTACCCTTCAGTCCACGGGCCCACGCTCTATCCACTGAGCCAACCAGCTAGGGCTTGGGACATTTTCTATGTGCCAGGTACTGTTGGCTTTACATGTGTCTCATTTCACTCCCAACACCCATGACACTGGTCTTCTCATCCTGATCTAACAGATGAGGAATAAACTGGGATAAGAAAATTAACCTATTACAGTCACAAAACTCACAAGAGGCTGGGCTATGAAGTCGAGCCCTAGACTATCTCCTCTGAAATATTCCATTACATGTTTTAGTAATCTTTGCAGGGCAGACACTAATTCTTTTTTGAGTGGGCTGGGAGCCTGGGGCCCTGCCCCCTCACCTCAGACTGTCTGAGAAGGCCTCCAGGCCAAACTTGGAGACACAGTAGCCCCCACCATTGGCTGCCAGGCGACCCAGGACGCTGGTGATGTTGATCACCCGGCCCCGGGCCCGTTGCAGTAAAGGTAGCAGGGCAAGGGTGACCCCGATGGGACCCAGTGTGTTCACATTCAGCACCCGGTGGAAGTCATCCCTGGTCAGCCATGGTGTGGGCCCAATGATACCAGCTACACCGGCATTATTCACCAGACCGAAAAGCCCTGTGGGGGGGGTGGGGGGAGTCACAGAGGGTAGGGCAGGCATTCCAAGGCCCTCCTTCCTGGGCGGCCTGAGCACTGCTCCTTCCCCTCACAGTCCCCCTGGTTCCCACTGCCCGTGTGAGTGAACCCCCTACACCATGTTCCCAGCGGCTCAGCCAGACTCACCTGTTTCCCCAACATATGTTTCCACCCATTTGGCTGCCCGCTGGACGCTCTGGGGGTCGGTGACGTCCAGCAGGGTGGTGTGGAGGCGGGAGGAGGCAGCCCGCTGCAGGTCCTCTGCCCCCGAGGGGGTCAGGCAGCTGGCCAGGACTTGGAAGCCTCTCTGGTCCAGCCTCAGTGCCAGGAGCCGCCCGAAGCCAGAGTCACAGCCAGTGATGAAGACGAAGGCATTGCTGGGGGGCAGGCTCTGCCGGTCTCTGAGCAGCCACAGTGCTGCCCAGAGTAAGACTCCCAGCAGCACAGGCAGCCACATGGCCGGAGCCCACGTGATTCCCACTCAGCAGCCGGGCTGGGCAGGAGAACAGTGCGGTTTACTCTGGCCCTGGAGCCCTTGCCCCTAATAGCCTCCCTAGCTGGGAGTCTCTGGTCTCAGCATCTGCTTGGCAGATAAATGGCAAATTGTGCCTCCTCTAGGCAAAGCCAGGATCTGGGCAGCCCCTATGCTTGTGGGTAACAATGAAAACCAGATAAGCCCCTTCCGAGGGCAGCCTGCTGCGAGGGAGCAGCAGCTCTCATTTGCTGTCCCATTTTCTCTCCTGCTGAACCAGGGACACCTGAACTCTCTAAATTAAGCCGGGCCTTGTTTTAGGAAACACACACGGGGCAAAGAGCCCTGCACTTCAGTCTGGTGGCCCCTAACTTACTGTGTGATGCTGAGCCTCTCACTGCGTCTCTGGACCTGTTTTCTCACCTGCCAGGTGGGACCAGCACCCACAGGCCCACTGGGGAGTTGTGCAGGGTCAGAAGGGAGACGTGTGCGTTATCAGCAATGCGATGCCTGGCACGTCCTCCCAGCACCCCAGCTCCCGCCCTGCTCACCTCCTCTGGGGAAAGCTGGCAGGTGCTGCACCAGATGCTTCTTCCTTTGCTCCCAGTCCTCCCGGCTCCCGAACAAGCTACAGCTGAGGCCAAAGTCCACGGCGGGTGGACTGGGTGCCAGAGGTATTAAGTATATGTGGGGGGTGGGGGGTGGTGGGGGTGGAAGGCTGAGGGGCGGAGTCAGGGAAGCGGAAGCTGGTCAGCCGCGGCTTGGCACGGGCCAGGCGTGCCCAGACCCCTTCATGGCTACCTTTTCCAGCCGGGGTTCCTGACCACCTCTGTCGTAGGCTCCCAGGAGCAGGATCTATTGAGTATGACAGCTGCCCCTGCCTGTTGGTGACCTCGGACCTGTCATTTCTCCTCCAAAGTGCTCCCATGCCCAAGAGTTAATCTCCCACAAGGTCCAGACTCATGACACGGCTTAGTGCCAGGCTGGGAGAGGCCACGGGCACGTGGAGAGGCAGAGCACCAGAGGCGGGACCAGGCCCGCTCCCTGCCTCATTGCTCCCCTGCAGGAAAGGGAAGTCCTAAGTCAGGATGCTTGCCGGCAGGGCCTCTCCTGGGGCCCTCTCTGGAGAGGTGTGGGGAGTCCCGACTTCTGGTCACCCAGCGGGCGGGCGCCTGCACCGGGGCCTGTCCCTTGGGGTCTGTGACCGTTCCCCTCCCCCGATGCTCAGCTAGTAGCTCCTTGAAATGTGTCACAGAGAAACTGAGGCTTGTGTTTTATTTGTGGCTGCCAGCCTCCCTCCTGCCCCAGGGGAGGCGGAGGGGGTAGGAGCGAGGCAGGGGGGGGAGAGGGGCTAGGACGGGGCCGACTGCAGCTGTCCTTTGTAGACATACTCCAGGGCAGTGGCAATGGTGCGCATGTCCATCTCAATGCTCCGAGCCCAGTTCTCCACATCCCCGATTTCCTGGGAAGGGGAGAGGGTGGGGGTCCTCAAATCAGGGCGAGTAGAGTGTGGCTCTAGTGGATGGATGGGGGCACTTCCCACCCATCCCCTACAAAGGGCTTTGCTTGGACCCACCAGCTCCCTTTACCTTTCGCTAGCTTCTCTGACACAGGGGCCACAGATGGGGTTTCTGGGGCCATAGATGGGGTTTCTGGGGCCATCCCACCTCTTCGTTAGCCCCAGGTCTGAGGTGACCCTACTGGAGGCAGCCAGTGGGGGCCCAGGATGCGATGTTGATGTCGGGAGTGTGGCCCACCTTGAGTGCCTGATTGAAGTTTTCCACCATCCCGATCCATTGGCCTGTCTGCTTGGCAAATTGGGCAGCCTGGACCTGTAGGGTCTTCACCTCATGGTCCAGCTTTCTCTGGTTCATGTAGGCCTGGGCCACACTAGAGGTTGGAGAAGGGAGGACATCGACCCACCCAACTGGTGAGAGTGGTCTCCAGGACTAACACCCCACTGCAAGAGTGGGAGGCCAGCCAGGGGTCAGGCTGGGGACAACCTCGTGACTGACCATACTGGGAAGTGACGCAACAAGACTAGTACATGCAAATGAACCCAGCTTCTTCCTCCCACTCCCAGGATTCTCAGGAGACCCTCGCTGGGAGCTGTGTAGAAACACACCATCTCCTACCCCGAAAAGAGTTCCTGAAGCTAGCCTGGTAGGGGGATATCCCTGAGTAAAGAGCTGGGAAGAAAAAGGGGGAGATGGGGAAAGCTGGGAAAATCCAGTAGCAGGGACACATCTGGCAGCCACTGGAAGCCCAGGGATCTGTGCAAAAAGTTGGGAAGGAAACTTTGGCCGCTCCCTGAACCTGGGGTCGGATGGGAGAGCAACCCCCTCCCCAGGAACTCAGGGTCAAGAGAAGATCTCCCAGGGACTGCTTCTTGGCTCAGTCTCCCTCCCAACCCTTCTCCTCCCGCCCACACAAATGAACACACATGCACACGTTCTCCCTTCCTTCCCCTCTGCTCTATTTTCTTTTCTCCTCAATCAAGGTGCTGGCTGCCATCACCATGACTGCCATGAGGCTGGTATCCTCAATTCTCTGCCCGCCTCCACCCCCCTGACCCTCCTGCAATAATTGTGCAATCACTGTTCTCCCTTACTGGCTGGTGAATCTTCCACTACCCACCCCGAAGCTCTAGGTCAGCTGAGAGAGTCCACATCCGGTGCCCCCACCCACAGGAATCCGTGGGGGCTGGAGAGGGCAAGGGGTTGGGGGTGTGGAGAGAGTGGGAAGGACACCTGACAGGGGCCGAGATAGATGGGGCCTTTGTGTTCCTTCCCGGGGAATGAGAGGAGCCGTGGGCAGCAGCACAAAACCCTTTCTAATCTGGCTTTGGCTTAGCTGCCCTCTCAACTGAAAGTGGGGTGGCCCCTAGCAAAGTCAGAAGAGAGGAAGAAGCCCGGGCCAACGTCTCAGCAGAGCCAGGAGGCGCCAATGTATGCGTGTGGGGTAAGGCCCTGTCCCTGGGGAAGGTGGCCACAGTAGGGGGCAGTGTAGGACCTGAAACAGTAAGAGTAGGGGGCTCCCATGTTTCCAGATTCCTCTGGGAGTTTCTAAAATCTGTTTTTCCTGTTGATCTCCTGCTCTCCACTCTTCAACTGAATGGAGGGAGGGGGCTGGAGGGCGGGGCGGTCAGAGGCCCTGACCACAGCCTTTCTTGCCCTAATCTTCCCCAGAAATGAGTCATGAAGATGGCAGCCCCTGCCTGGCTCACTTGGGTGACTCAGTCTCTGGATTCACAACTATTTGCCCTGGGGTGGAAGGCATCATAACTGCCTCCTTTCTTCCAATAAACGGACGACAACCATCATCTCTGTACCCTCCCGGGTCACTCCCGGTCAAGAGAATATTCTTTGCTCCTTCCCAAGGTTTTTCCACTTAGGACTGGAGCAGAGGGTAGTCCCTGGAGCCCGGTGGCACCGGGACAGACTTTCCAAAAAAGGCCCCGCCCCCGAGGCCCAGAAGGAAGGGCAGAGACAGCCGGGCTCTGCTGGGGCGCCTGGCAGGGGTCCTGCTCTCACCCTCACCCTCACCCTCACCCTCACCAGCTGTGCCGTCTCTTTCCTGCCAGCTGCTCCCCGGGCCGGCCAGAGGGTGGGCGGTGGAGAAGGCAGTCAGCCATGGTGAAGGAGGGCACCGCCCTCCCACCAAAGCGACAGCTGGCCTGAGGGGTGCGAGGAGGTGGGCGGAGGGCATCAGGTGGTGGGCACAGGGAGGTCACTGTGAGGAGGGACAGAGCTGGCTGCTCTTCCCTGACGTGCTGAGGGTCAGAGCTGACTCAGCCTCTCCTGACCGTAAGCTGCGTGGGGGAGGGAAGGATGAGCAGCACATCCCTCCCTTCCAGGGCGCTGCCCTCGGTCTTGCCTGCGCCTAAACGCGGGGCGGGCAGCTGGTGTGGGTGGGCGCGTTCATACCCCACATTGAGGTGGTCCACCAGAGCTTCTGTCAGGCAGGTCGCTGCAGAGATGGCCTCTCGCCTCCTCTTCTCTGCGGGGAGGAGGGGGAAGGGATCGGAGTGGCGACGAGGTGTTTCTCAGGGGGGCTGCTTGAAGGCCCCCTACTCATGACTATTCTGCTAGTTGTGGGAACATGTCAACTGATCTCAGCGCCAGAGCTGCAAAGGACTTGGCCCAACAGAAACAGCTTTCATGTCAGAGGCGAGGAGCCCGGCGCCCGGAGAGGGGGAGCGTCTTGCCCGGGGACGTCAAGGTGCAGGGGTGCAGACTCCCCGCTTCCTTGGCCTCAGGGTCGGCAACACCGGATCCCAAGCCCGGGTTCAGCAAACAGGCGCCCACACCTGCTTGGGCTGTTTCCGGCCCCCGAGAATCCCATCTCGGGCGGATCCCCAACACCCTCCTCCCTCCTCCCTCCTGGAGCCCCGCCCACTCCCGGGAGGAGCGGCCGCCGGGACCAATCGGCACAGCGCCCCCGGGGCAGGGGCGGGACTACGAGGCCGGCGGCCCAGCCGAGGGGCGTCTCCGAGGGGACACGGGTGCCGCTGAAGGGACTAGAGCCCGTTGGCACCGGACGGACTTTCCAAAGAAGCACCACCTCCCCCTCCTCCGACGCCCGTGCCCACGAGCCCGCGCCCTTCCCTGGATCTGGGCCATTACTCGAGGTCCAGGCTCCGGGCTGAGGCTAGGCCGCGGCGGGAGAGGACGCGCAGGCAGACAGGCTGTGGGCTCACCCTGCAGCTCCTTGCGTTCGTTCTGCTTGGCCTGGTGCTCCTTCAGCAGGCGGGACAGCATGGTCGCGTCGGGCTGGGGCGGGGAGGCTGGACGCGCCCGGCCCCGCAGACTCCCGGAGCGGGACGCACGGCTCAGCGCCGAGGGGCCCGGGCCACGTGACCGCGCCGTCACGTGACGTCGGGCCCGCCCCCTTTTGGAGCCAAGGTTGGCAGGTAGTGAGATCTGGGCTGGGAAGAAAGGGAATAGTCAAGAGTTGGGGGCGGGTGAGCTCTTGTCTTTATGGCGAGTTCACTTTTTTGGTGAATGTTGGAAGACGTTTTCTTTACCACTCACATTGCAGAGCCAATTTTTAAAAATAAATTTTTTTTTTATTGATTTCAGAGAGGATGGGAGAGGGAGAGACAGGTAGAAACATTAATGCTGAGAATCATTGATCAGCTTCCTTCTGTACGCCCCCCACTGGAGATGGAGCCTGCAACCCCAGGCATGTGCCCTGATCAGGAATGGAACCCTGACCTCCTGGTTCAAGGGTTGATGCTCAACCATTGAGCCACACTGGCCAGGTGCAGAGCCAATTTTTTCACCTGAGGATATTTTCCCATTGACTTTTAGAGAGAGTGGAAGAGAGAGGGAAAGACAGAGAGAAATGTCAATGTGAGAGAAACACATCGGTTGGTTGCCTCCTGCACGTGCCTGACCAGGGACTGGGCCCGGGAGGAGCCTGCAAGCAGGTACATGCCCCTGACGGGAATCGGACCCAGGACCCTTCAGTTCGTAGGCCAATGCTCTATCCACTGAGCCAAACCAGCTAGGGCCAGAGCCAGTTTTTAACATTTCTTTTGGATCTCAGGCTCCTGGTGTGTGTGTGGAGGGGCGGGGGTGGGGGGGTGGGGTTGCAGGGGGGAGAGGTGGATGTTGCCAGGCTGTCCATCATGGTTTGGTTGTTGGCGGAGCAGAGGCTCCCTAGGCTCATTGAAATTCTTTTCCTTTCTTGCCTTGCCCTCCTGGCAGCTCTGGCCGGTTCTCAGTTGTTCTCAGCTCCTTCCCTCTAGGAGGGACAGCTTTCCTTTCTTTTCCAGCTCTCTCTCTTCTCACCACTGCTGCGGTCCCTCAGCGCTGGGTGATCATTGTAGAGAGGCAGTATTTTGGGCACCTCAAGTGGCCTCCTAGGGAGCTTTGGTAATTGTGGCTAAGTGCAGTAATGCGCAATGCCATCTCTGTCCTTCTGTGGTCAGGGAATGGGAACCCATTTCAGTCTTACCAGAAGAATAACTGCTGTTGTCACAGTAAAAGGTAAATGATATAATACCTCTCTGAACTAAGAAAAATGTTTCCGGGATAACTCCAACAAGAAAAATTATAAACATCATCAACATATTCTTGCTATGGCCACAGTCTCTCTTGGTGCACCATGTACTGACATGCTGGGTGACTTTGGGCAAATTGCTTCTCCACTCTGGATTTGTGTTCTTTTTCCTTTGTGAAATAAGGGCTAAACATTAGAATCACATGGGGAAGTTTAAAAAAATTCCCTGACCCTAGACTAATTAAATCTCAGAGGAGTGGAGCCCAGACATAACTATTTTTTTAAAAAGTTGTTCAGGTGATTCTAAAATGCATCAAAGGATGAGAATCACTAGACTAAACCATATCTGAAGCCATTTCAAGCTTTGGCATTTTCTCATTTTGTGATTCAGTTACTTAGTTGAAAACTGACTTTATCACATCTACTTGCAGGGGGTGGAGAAATGGGTGCTGACTGAATTAGAATAAAACGTCCTTTTTGAATTTTCTGAGGATGAGTTGAGGGTTACTTTCATTCATTCAGCTATTGCAGAGTAGCATCTTACTTCCTGGGAGATGTGTGAACATCAAAAGATTAGGGAGTGAATTGGTTAAGTGGTAGCATAAAGAAGAACATTAAGTGTCAAAATAAAAATTCTGAATAAAAATGCTGGATACTGTGCGTGTGTCTGTGCTTATGTGTGTACTACTAGAGGCCTGGTGCACGAAATTCATGCACAGGTAGGGTTCCTAGGCCTGGCTGGCCATCAGGGATGATCTGTGGGGCTACCGTCAGGGCAATCAGGGGGCACCCACTGGCACCTGCGTTGGCTGGCCTGGGGCCTGCGAGCTGGGGGCAGCTCCTGCATTGAGCATCTGCCCCCTGATGGTCAGTGCACATCAGAGCGAACAGTCGTTCCACCCACTGTTTTGCTGTTTGGTCGATTTGCATATTAGGCTTTTATTATAGGATAACTTCTTTTTCCAACATTTCCTGAGTACTTACCATGGGTCAAGCACTTTACATGTATTCATTAATTTAACCCCCAGAACTATCCAGTAAAGTATTGTAATTATCACCCCCAGTTTGCAGATGAAGAATTCCAGATACAGTGCAGTGAAATAGTGACAGAGCTCACAAGAAGTAGAGGTCGGCTACAAATCCAGGCTATTTGGTTCCAAGGCCTGAGTGGAACGACTGTTCTGTGCTACAGACATTGTGGGAGAGGCTCTGGGACAGGAGGCCCTGTCTGTTGCCACAGGCCCTTCTAGCTCAGACCTCAGGTGAAGGGAATCCTGGCAGGGGAGGAGTGTTTGGGAAGAGGCTCCACTCCAGAGAACGGCTGATCAATAAAAGCGGGAAGAGTGAGAGCATCACAGGGCAGCCTCCTCCGGCCCTCCCCCCACCTCCACCCTGGCTCCTGCTTCTAACTGCAGTGAGCAAGCAAAATAGAGGCAGACGGGAACATGCCTGGTGTCTCACTCCCAGAGCTGTGGAGCCTGGGAAAGAAGGGCAGGGGTTGGAAGAGGTACCAGAGAATGATGACTTAAGGGGCGTGAAACAGAGGGCAGGGGCTAATGAGGGTGGTTGGTGTTGGGGGTTTCAGTGGTCAGTCTGTACATGTTAAGAATAGGCTGACACAGGGAGTGTGCCAGGCCCATCCTGTGTTACCCTCACCCCGCTTGGCACAACCGTCTGACATTTTCACAATCAGCAGAGAGATTGCCAGTACGCTGCAGACATAAGCCCCGCCCTCTTCTTCCGCATACTGGCAGTTCCTGTGCCCTAGAGCTGGACAGAGGACATGGGTCCCGTATCTGGGGCCTGCAGCTTATCTCTCCAGGATGGTCCTCCAGCTGCTCTTTTGCTGGGCCCTTCTTGCTGACTGTCCAAGCGTGTAGTTTCCGCTGCAGTTTAAGCTCAGCCCCACTTATCTTTGGTAGCGACGGAGAAAAGTTGCACTGTAACCGGAGAACGAGTCTTTTTTTTTTTTTTTTAATATATATATATTTTATTGATTTTTTACAGAGAGGAAGGGAGAGGGATAGAGAGTTAGAAACATCAATCAGCTGCCTCCTGCACACCCCCTACTGGGGATGTGCCCGAAACCAAAGTACATGCCGTTGACCGGAATCGAACCTGGGACCCTTGAGTCCGCAGGCTGACGCTCTATCCACTGAGCCAAACCGGTTAGGGCGAGAACAAGTCTTGATATTTGAAATCTCTCTCTGCCCACTTCTCCTTACAATTTCCCACCCTGATTATTCTCCCTTAGGATGAGTGGATGTGACTCCGTGCTCTTTTTCTCCACTCCCTTCCCTCCTCTTTGGAGGTCTCTTTCAGAGTTAGCTTTAATTAGCAAGCTCCAAGCTGGCTGCCTGGGCTAAACTGTAGGGCCGGAAGCTGCTGGGTTGTTTGGGGTTGGTGAGGACTGAGGGAGGGCATGGCGTGAGTGGAGAAGCTTCTCAAACCGGGAAATCTGGCTGGGCTTCAAGAGGGGGCTGTTGGTGGTGTGGCCAAGTTCCAAATGTTGGCCTGAAGCCAGCGCTCAAAGAAAAGAGGCCCTCAAGTCCGTTTAAATGGCTCCCTGTGGGAAGTGACCTCCTAGTCCTTCTCCCCAAGATCCTCAAAGACCAGAGTGGCCATTTCTCCAGTGACTCCCCTCGATCACATTTCTATTCTTCCTCTCCCAGCCACTCCCACAGTTGAAGCGTTGGCCACAGCCAGAGCTCAGAGGCAGGCGGAGGATTCCGGTGCTGGAGAGGCGGCTGGGGTGAGAAAGGCACCACGTTGTGTGGTGAGGAGGGAAAGGCTGACCCTGGGACATATGGGCCCAGGCTCTGCTGCCAGGTGAGGTGGAGGGAGTGTGTTCTGCAAGTATTTGCTTGAGGGCTGCAAAATAGGGATCCCGATGGAGGGGAAGAAAGCTGTGAGAGTAGAAAGGGGTTGGAGAAAGCCCCAGCTTCCACTCAGACAAGTCTTCGCTGAGCCTGGGCATTTATCAATTTTCAAAC